TGGGGGATTGGGAATTAAGGGCCCCAGTCAATGCAAGCTGATTGCAGAAAATGCCTCATTTACCGGGAAATCAAATCGCTCCCTTTCTAAGTGGATAAACACACAAATGATGGCAAATAGCCATGAATGCATACCGAGGGAAAGGCACTCCGGTGACCTGGCCAAAACGCTAAACGAATGAGCGAAATTGAATGAAAATTATGCTGCCACTCGACTCACTGGGCTCTGGGCCTTCTCCGTGCCTTCTGCTAGATGAAATATAATTTTATAAAATAACTTGGCCCTTTTTTTTCAGATCAGTGAGCTTTCTCCCCGGCCCTGCAAAACAGGGCAGGCAAATTTCTTTGCTAAACAAAATTGAATTGTATTCCGACTGAAGCCGGGCCCCAAGGCCCTGTTTTGTTTAGGTTCTTTTTATTTTTCGGCAGCCAAATGAAATGGACGCATTTCAAACGGAATTTGTAAACAGCTCTTTAAGTTCTTTCTATGGAAAATATTTGATTACATTAAAGTTGTATTTAATTGTTGTTCTTACTGCTGTTAGGTTACTTCAAATAAAATTTAATTGTATTCCAGGCATAGCAACTTCAAAATCAATTTTAAATATTTTTAAAAAGTTCGAAGAGATCACAACAATACAATAAATTGGTAATTCGATATAAACAAACTTTTACGCTCTCACAAAAAAAAATGCGATTTAGGGCAAAAAGGAAAAAAGGACTTGAAATGTTTACAAATTTTCATGGGCCAACCAGAATCACCGCAGGCATCGTAAAAATGAACATTTGAAGAGCCGAAAGATGTTGAAATGTGCAAACATAAAACTGCCACCAATTGATTGAGATGTAATCAAAAAGGCGACCCAAACAAAAAGCAGAGGAATGAACATTTTTTTTTTCCCAGAAAAGCGTCAAATGTGGAAGGGCATAAAAATCATTGCCCAAACGGAAAAAGAAAGAAAAATCAAATTACGCATACGCAGTGCAGGGCAAAAGGGAATGGCCATGCTGGCTTTTCCGGCTCAAACCTCGTTTCGTTATGGAAATTCGCCGGGAAAGCATATGGGGCAACTTACTAATGCTAACTGGGGTTAAATGTGACTGCCTTTGGGCCACATACATCAACGCAAACATAAATTACTCGCCATATATGCGCATGACTAATTTGCGACTCATGTCTGGCCTTTGATGCTGCCGCCCGCAAAGTTTCAGCATTCATATTTTATTAGCCACAAGTCAGTAAGTTTGTGCTCTAAACAATTTATTAATCAAATGGCCCAGCAAACTAGGCTGTGGGCCAGAAAAGCAGAATCGGAATATGACACCGAAAACCGAAACCAGAAAGTCCAGTCATCTCCGAGCCCTGTGTATATATAATTTATGTGCCCTGTATGTGTAACAAATTGTGTGCCGGAGGCCAAGTTTCGCATTTTCCTGTTTGTCTTTCTGTTCATCCAGGGAAAATGCTCCCGAATAGAGTTGTCACTACTTAGGATGTGAAAATGGCTAAGCATTGGTAAACTTTTCAGCAAAAAATGGCTGGGGATTATAGCAGAAAAATAGTTAAGAATAGTTTTAAATGTTTTATTCTTCCATGTATATATTTTATTAAACGTTTACTATATCAATAAAAAATGACGATCAAGACAATCATTCAAAAACGATTAATTACCTTTAAAAATAATAAAAATATAATATAGTAATTTTGAAACATACCGACGTTTACCAAAATTTAAGTGACATTATTATAAACTTAAAGGTCTTAATAATATTGAAAAATGGAAACCGACATAGGTATATTTTTAAAATAAATTATTTTAAATCTCGAAGAAATACTATAATTACTATGGTTTTCTGACACATTCTGTATAACTTTCCAAAAATCGCTATAGCTACAACACTGTTTCTGAGAAAACAATTCGAGCATGGCGTCTGCTGTCCTTTTCCCCAACCCTATACCCCTCTCTCTCTCATCCGGCCGAATGTTCGTCATCTTGTCTGGATCCCCCGCAAAAGTGTTACAAATTTATGACATTTTCTTTTTGCATTCGTCGACCCTTTAAAGCAGCTCGCACCCAATGGCTAAATCCAAAGCCAAACAGCTTCGAAAAAGGTCAACAGAATGCTCGAGGTTAGAGAAGCTGGCCAAAAAAAAGCAAAAAAAAAGGAAGTAGTAAAAATGTTGTTTTCTTCTTCGTTTTACGGTTTTGGGTTGGACATTTACAAAAAATCCCAAAAAGAAAAGTGGTGGTGAGAGTGGAAAACTGTAATGGGAGGGAACGAAACCAAGACACTAATGTCGCTCATCTTTTATTAATATTTCTTTGAGATTTTTATGCTGCTGTTTTCTCGCCGCAGGGTGAGCAAAATCTTGGGGTCTAGCAGACAGTTGAATGAACTACTAGATAAAAATATACCCCAAAATAGAGCAAATAAACAAAGGTTATATTTTAAGAACTTGGCAACTTTTAAATGAGTTTAATACACCCACGTGAGTTCCTTTCTTTGGCATTTCCCACGCATTTTGGTGTGCTGAAAATCAATAAGCTCTATATTTCCCCTTCAAGCGACATAAAGCATTCGGAAAACCGGAGGAGGATAAACCCGCTGGCACTTGATTTGTTACATAAGGCATGTTGCTTACTTTTACTGTCATACTTTCTTTTATGCTGGAAATTTCTCTGCAGGAATTTCTCTTCAAGTCATGTCTGCGATGACTTCCTCCCTTTCTTCCCAGCTGCCCTGAAAGTGATTTAGCGGAAATTGTTTTTTAATGTGGCAGACATTCTTAAACTATTTAACCTGAAGTGGCAGAGTCACTCTCACCGAGCAAAAAAAAAACTTTTTTCACCATTTATCAATGGATAATCAATAGACCTTAAACCATTTTCCCCTTTTTTTTTGGGGTTCTGTGTGTGCCTGGGGGTAAATTTTATAGTTTGCCTGACAAAAATTCGGGACTGTGTGCCCAAAATAACTGCGTGGCATGCGATAAAGCCCAGGTACATATATATTTCGAGCAGAGGAATACACTTTCCCCAGGAGTTTTCCCATGTCCGCACTTTAGCTAAACATCCGCTGCAGGATTTCGACATTGCGGATTACAATAAAAGCGTTTTTATTCGTTTGCATGACTGGCAGACGAGCCGAGAGTGACTGACAGATAGGTGAAAGTTGAAGGGGGACAATGTGTACAGTCCCTGACATTCATTAGCCATTGGCACGATGTCGTTACATGTCAACTTCCAGTTTAACCCCAGTATTGATTTTGCCGCCGAAAATATAAATATTTGCGTTTGAGTGCAATTTGCCAGGCTTCCGAAATAGATTTACTCCTTATATCACATTTAAGCTTAGCTCTGCAAATTTTATGCAAGGCAATTTCATTTAAAATTTAATTTGCCCAAGTGAAAATTATTAATTTGTGCACATGGCCCGGCTGCGTGTAAAATCCTTTGCATTTTGCACAGCCATAAACTTGGGCAAATAACTTAGTAATCATCGTCAGCAGCACTTGCAGGATCATCAGCATTTTGCCAGGGCATTATAATTACATAAAGATGCGCCTTTTGTGGCTGTGCATGTGCCTCTGCTCTTTACACAGGAATAAAAAAATAATAAAAGTAAAAGGACTCCCCGGCAGTGAAAAGGCGCAGACAGCTTACCTTTTTCCTCCTGTTTATGACAGCTCTCACTCAGCACACACACCGAATGTGTATAGTATATATATATAAACGGGGGAAAACACTTGCAAGTTTTACGATTTTCAAATGATGTACGTACAAATTCATAGAATTTTATATTTAACAGCGCCCAAAAGCAGGCAACTGGGTGTGTGTGTAACTCGTTTTTAGTTGTTTAGCCTCTTTTCCGGGGAAACTGTGTCTGCAGCAGGCAGTCATTTTTCATTATTTGCCGCGCAGTTTTCCGCACATTCGCATTAATCAAACATTGCCAGTGGAAAAACTGGCAAACAAACAGTTGAAATATGGCTGAATTGTTGAAACGATTGCTTTTTTGGCTGCCGGCAATTAAAAACTGTTGCACAACTCATTTGTTGCTCATGTGTTTTAGAAACCCCGAAATTAGAAAAATATTATAAACATATTTTCTGTTTATTCGGCCATCAACCAGCATGACAAGCTCATTGTAATCGAGTTTCGATGCCACGAAAAACTTTTTAATTTAGTTGGCAAAGAAAATAATACACAAAGTAAAAGCCATCATCATCATCATTGGCAGAAGACTTTTCCAGCTGGCTGCAAATGTATTCGTGTAGGAAAAAGTTTCTGCTGCCTACTTTTCTGCACATTCACTGGCCCACTAAATGCAAATTTGTATAATTTGATTTTGTTACAATTCTAGGAACCACGGGAAATGCTACCTTTCTGTTCTGTTTTCATTTCCCCAAAGAAATTTCATTATTTTTCTTTATAGCCGCAAAATTAATCAAGTAAAAACACAGAGCTGGGCGAAAAATGGATTCTAGAAAATGTTTCCTCAAATGGCATATTTCCATTTCACAACGAAATTCATGCGAAACAGCCGGCGTTTATGGAATTTTATGTTCCGTTTTATGGGGCCATCAAAAAGTGTGTTCAATTTCATAAATTGAAGAATAATTGCGATAAAAGTGGATCAGAGGCGCTGAGGCGGGCGAAAAATCTTTGCTGATTATTGACACTAATTGGTCTTTGGGTTGAACAGCCCAGAAGCTCAATTTAGCTACTAATTAAACGCCCTGGGTTTATCAAGCTGAAAAATGCGTAAATTAGAACTTAAATTGTAGTCAGGTTTCTTTGCAAGAAAAGAAAATTCCAAGCAATTTCACCAGGAAAGGGAGGAAAGTAAAAAGCAATAAGGCGATTAAGCGCTTATTAGGTCTTAATATAATTATGTGATAAGAGCTAATCATATTGAGTTAATGGTATTATTTGATATCATATTAATTGTGTGCCCCTTACCACAAAATTTGTATTTCTTTCATTTCCAAACACTCACCTTTGCTATAGTAACGATGTCCTGCAAGAAAAGAAGAGAAAAACACTCATTAATAAACTTTTCCAGGCCAAGTTGGTTTATATTTTAATTAGCCAGCGAGCTATACATGCAAGGATTTTGTATAAAGTAAATCCGTAAGTCCCCTTGGCTTATGCTCGAGTGTAGTTTTGAGGGATCTTGGAATTAAAACATATATTTTCTGAGGCCAGTGAGAGCAGGCTTACCTTGACAACGCCCCGAATTCAATGGCAAATGTCAACCTTTTCAGCTGCATAACCTTTGCCAAACACATGAACGCATGAAGTGCCCCGGGGAAAGTGCCATTGAGTGAGTGGGAAATTTATAAAGAAACATTAATTCCAATGGCATACGAGCTGCGGAAATAGCTAGTTTGCTAAAGGTAGTGGAGACTATGTTTGAAATAGATATGAAATGAAAAGGGGTTTTTATGCTAAACTTAGAAAAATAAAAATATATATGTGTACTTTAGAAACAAATTATATGGATGTAAGCTGTACGATATAATTTATTTACTTTAGAACGAATAAGTTATGTTAACTCAAATGAAAGGGAAAAAATATATTTATAGGTGTATTTAAAGTGATTAGCTTTTACAAAATAACATATTTTCCTTTGGAGATAAACGATTTATTGCCCAAATAATTGCAGTGTCACAGCAATCATTTAAAAAAAATAAAGTAAAAGTGAGCAAAAAAATTCAGAAGGAACTTCCGGGCTAAAAGAAAAATATTGTTGCATACTTTTAGATACTTTATACTAGCATTTTTTGTGGTAGCATCCAATTTGTTAAATTTTTTAGCTTAAAAATATCATTGCATCTGCGTAAAAACCCCACCATTTATCATGCACAAAAGGCAAAATTAGCCATGAGACTTACAGGCTGCCCCGTTTGTTTATCCCATTGTGGGCGTGGCATTCGCTTGGCATGGCCGCCAGAGGGCGTTCCACTATAAATGGCCTGCACTGAAACTAAAACCCAACTGAAACACGGGGTCAAAATGGCATGACAACGACATTGACGCGTCGAGGGTGAGCCCTTGGCCAAAAGGATTTAAAAGCCAGCTGGGGGAAGGCCAAAACGGGGTGTGGCTGGCCGTTAAGATTTATGCTGACGCCTCTGGCTAAGGTCAGAACCAACGCTGTCTGACAAAATGCAATTGGGTTTTAATGCAACTGCAAATGCAGCAGGCATTCCATTAAAATTATACAAGGCATCAAAATGCTGCCGCTACACAAACTATCGTTAAACAGGATGGCGAAGGGAAGTTTAATTTTTATTGGACGCTGCTCTGCGCTGAGAAAATTCAATTAGTTAGCCAGGATTCTGGGCTGAGGATTCTGGGCCAAGAGAGCTCGAGGAGGGAATCAAGCCAAGCTGCCGAGAGTTAATCAGTTTTGCTAACTTCATTTGAGCAACTAACGGCAGGAAACTTTTGTGCAAGGTGGGTGGCTCCCTGCTGATGAAGTTGACTTAAAGCTCACTCCCTGCCAGCCAATTACACGCACTGCAATCCTTTACAAAACTTTTCCCCCACTACACGTACTAATTTCTCTGTTTGCTGGATAGTGCAGCCAAATAGAAATTAGTTAAAATGGCTAAATTAGCTATTTCCAAACAATTAGATGTCTAAGCAGCAAAATTGACATTTTCAAACCTTCATTTTGGGCATTCCGAATTTTACATGCCATCATACCATTGCAGTACTTAAGAAGGTTAACTTTATTTTCATATATCTCTGCCAAAGAGACTTTTCAAAAACATGCCACCAAACAATAATTTGTTACATTTAAATTACATTTTTAAGACAGGCATAATAGCTTAAAAAAAGGAAATAAATTATAAAATGCGTCTGCTAATGTCTATAATTATTACCTTAACTATCTATAAGTACTTCCTTAAGTATTTCCCTAATTTCGACCAGGCTGTAAAACAGCTAAACTGCCAACACAGTTGCAATCACTCCAGAGGCAGGCTAAAAGTTGGCTAGACAAATGTTGCACTTGCATATCCTGCCCGTCCCAGAGGAGATTTATGGCCGGGACAAAAGAGGAATTAAAGGGCCAACTCTGGAGCACACATTAACCCACATTTCGATGGGGATTTATGGCTGGCCAAATAAGTTTGGAAATAAATCCGAGTGAAACGCCCGTTTCGATTGAATGCCACCGATATGCACTCATAACTTATTCAGATGGCCATCCGATTAACAAGCACATAAATGTCAGAGTACAAATATTTAGCTTATGCAAAGTGAATCCATCACTGACTTTTGTCAATAGGATTTGTTTCGGTTGCACATTCCGAATCAACATGGCAGCAGGTGCTGCAATTTTTATGAGCCTCGTTTTTGGGTCACTCATTGGCCGTCAATCAAATGCGGATACTTGACCCCCAATCAATTTGCCCATAAATCAGGACTCTCTGCAAAGCCTAAACAATTACAAAACAATTAAATTGTCACATTGAACAGTGAAGAGCAAACCAACTCCAGCTTTAGGGCGAGGGAAAAAGTGGGGCGGTGGGAAAAGCGCTATCTGTTTGGTTCCTTTCCACTCGGAGCTTTTCCTTTTCCCTCTTGGACATCCGACTGCTGCTCAGTCAACACGTTTCCGCTCTATTGTCCGTGCACTGTACAAAATAATACTATATTTAATTTTTTTTACAAATAGAAACATATTAAAATCAGCCATAAACTTTACATTAGACAATACTTCCCATTAAAGTATACTAATAAAATATCATAAAACGATCCAAAATATTTCTAATAAAGATTTCTTTTAGAAAATTCCACATGTTTCTTTAACGATTAAATATTTGAAAATATAATAGAACAGAGCAGAATAATTAAATTGTAAATAAAAATAAAATAAAAACAAACTTTAACCATAAACAAATGCAAATTTTATAATAACACCCCTTACTATTTCTCAAAATGCAAAACTTTCTGCAGAGTTTCCTAAGACTTTCAAGTAGTAAAACTTTTCTTTTCACAATAACGAACAATAGAAAATATTATTACATTTTCCGCTCCATTATTGTATATGTAGATTGATTTTCTCGCAGTGCAACCACTTGGCCGGAAGGAGGAAATGGAAAAAGTGCACAACTTGAGCACAATATAAATTTCATTGGGCGCCAAGGCCAAATCGAACTGGTCAGCTCAGCGTCTGTTTCCATTATTTATTTGCAGCAAATTAAGCCCGACCCCCCGAATAAAAAAGGGCGAGCAAACAGCGAGGAGAAAAGGCGAACTAGCAGGGCAAGTCAAGTCAAGTGTCAGCATAAATGAAATTTCCCACCACAAACTTCCGGAAAATGGGTGGAGTAGGGTTTTCGCCGGATTCATCCCTCCGTTAACAATGCATGTGCATAACAAAGAGCAAATGTCGGGTTGAACTTTTCACGGTTTCACTTTCCCATCGACTTTCCATTTCCCATTTCCCCTTTCCCTTTCCCCTGGCAACTTGGACCTCGGACATGGACACACTTGGCTGGCGCCATTAAGGTGCAACAAAATGTGCATACGGGAAGTGCTTCCAGCAGGTTACCTTGCATCCGAACTCTGGAATTTCGCACAATTCAATTGCACAGTCATTTCCGGTCTCAACTAACACCCCTGAAAAGCCATTCAAGCACCTTCGATTGGGGTTGCTCCCTGGGATATTATTTCGGTTTTATAATGGTGCATAACGCGATATAGATAAAGGTATTTCCACAATTGGTAAATTGGTAAATGTCAAAAGAACAGGATTTGCTTTGTGGTTTAAGGTATACCATTTATGGAACCAATTATATGGTTCCAACCTTTCTGAAGAAAATTGACCTAATTGAATTTCTGTAGATAAATATACATATTATTAAGTACCAACTTAGAGAATTTTTCGATTGGTACTCCGTACTCCCAGGGTTTTTCCTTGCGGAATAATAGATATGAGTTCTTGAGTGTATACCATTTAAGGAACCATACAATTTTCATAAGAAAATTGTCATATTTTAATTACGAATTATGCAACTCATTACAAAGCTTAATGAATCTGTAGATATATATACATTCTTTTAAGTACCAACTTAGAAAATTTTTCTAAGGGTACACCTCCCAGGTTTTTTTCTTAAGAGGAACAATTTTTTTTCTGTTAATCACTGCATTTATTCCACTTCCTCTTTGCCACCATTTTGTGGTCGCACACAAATGAGCTGCATCATTTCCGCTTTTACCCCTCTGCTTTGTAGGTGTGCAAAATGTTAAAACATTCAGGGACTGCAGATAACAAAGTAAAGTCAGTATAGTCAGTGGTAAAAAAAAAACAATTTTGCCAAGTTCTAGTGAAGCGTTACATTTGTGGGTTCCGTTCGCTTGAGTTTCAGTGGCTGGCTTTTTGCCGTTTCTGCTGCTTTTGTGCTAACTTTTTTAATGAACTTGTTGATGTTGCGTGAGTACATTGCTGTTTTTGCTGATTTTATTGTACTTGATGTAGGTTTTTTTGTTGCTCTTTTTTTGCTGCTGCTGCCGGTTGTCTGTCAAATGATTTGCTCAAGTGCGGCGGGATGTGTAATGCGTGTAATTGACTTGTGAACTCGAACATTTGGCACTCAATTAACAGCCAGCAATTGCAATACTTAATTTATGTGCTGCAGATAAATTTAGTCATGAAAAATTTTAATAGAATTCGTAGAATATTTGATGATGTAACTGGTGAAAACAAGGGATTTTCAGGGTAAGATAATTATAAGCAAAGACAAAATAAAATTGTTCTTAAGGTCATATGATTTTATAATCAAGATAAATAATTGTAAGCATTTTAAATAATGCTCATAATTAAAATTATGCAATTTTTCCAAATTCCAAGGTATTATTGTAAGGAGCAATACAATTAAATGCAATACTTTGTAAGAGCATAATATCTATTATGTTATTTTATAATCAAGATACATAGTTGCAACCATTTTAGTTAATGCTCATAATAATAGTTATGCTAGTTTTCCCAATTCCTAAACTCCAAGGTATTAGTTTAAGGATAAGTACTACTAAATGCCATATTTTGTAAGAGCTTCACATATTTTAAAGCTCCAAAATATCACAGCACCCTTATCAAACAACCAACTTAGGCCTTGGCACACTCCTGCTATGTTGTAAAATATGCAACACCATTTCGGCGATACACATTTTTGGCAGCACATGAATCACCCTCTCCCTCGACGCCCAAAGACTGCATTATGAATAATTAATTAAAATTTAATTAAAACTGTCTAACTTGGCAGAGGACTCCCTAGCGTCATAAAAACTAATGCGGCCTGCGGGCTGCCAAGTCAGGCTAATAAATCAAGAGCGCGTCAACGAAACTGATATGCCATCTCCGCTGGAAAGAATTCAAGTGGGTCGAGATGAAAGTCCCCTGATGAGGGCGAAAGCCAAAACTTGAAGCCAGCCAGGCGTTAAAAGCGCACGGTACAGGCAAACTGGAAACGTAACAATTAATGTCATCAGCTTGCAATATCAACAAGGGCAACGGCAGTCAAATAAACAATGGCCACGAGTGGCAGTGGTTAACAATGCCAAACAACGTGGCCAACTACAAAATGGTCCAGTGGTCACCCAGCATTTCTATAGATAAATGGATACTGGGGGATCTGCGGCATGTGTGTTGTTTGCATGTTGTTTGACCAGGGTGGCAACGCAAACTGCATAACTTGTTGACTTGTTCTGACTAATTGTCAAACGAGACCAAGGATCAGGGACAAATAAAATCAGACTAAATAAACCAGAGAGTCAATTAATCCGTTAGAGGTGAGAGTAACTAGTGGCAGCAACATAACTTTTTATGAAATATTTCTGGAAGGTATAACATAAATATTTAACTGGCCTAATAAAATAAAGAACATGGCATAATTAACTGACCTACAACATATTTTCCATTCCTAAATGGCACATAGGTTTTATTCACAGCATTCCCGCACATAAATAGCTGACCCATCTTAGTGTTTCTCAAGCATTCCAGAGGAGACCCAAAATACCGAGTTAAATGACCGAAAACCGTGCCACATTTTCTACTCATTTTCCCGAGCAACTAGCATAAAAACGAGGCTAGCTCTTCTAACTCTTGGCACTAATTAAGTCAAAACCTTAGCATTTACCTTGGGGCCAGGTGCTCGAGGGGCGGAAAGAGAAAAAGTGGGTGGGGCCAGGGGGATCCATCTTGGGGCTCCCAGTATTAATAGGAAACCCTTGTTGCGAAGGCTTGGGGGCACATAAAAATGTCATATGTCAACTACAGGTTGCCTTGTCAGCACTCATTAAGCTCTTAACCTCATTCGAGCGCACACTCAGAAACACCCAGACCCAAACCCACACCCACAGATGTACACTCAACATCCTGGACAAATGCAAGTGAGCGCTTTATTACCAATGTCGACACGCCCGGTCGGTAGAAAGCAAAACTGGCAGGACAACGGAGCTGTAGCAGGACTCTTGTCTCAATTCTCCAGCGAGTTCATTGACCAGCAGCTCATACTTTAAGTCCTCATTTTGCTGGAAAAATTATGAATGTGCAGCATCGCGTAATTCGCTTTCTTCTTCGGCTGCCTTTCAATTAATTTAACTCGCCCTGTTTTGGATCCTTTTCGCATTTCCCTGGCCCCGGAATGAATGAAATCAAATTAATTACGGAGACGACGAGCTGATAGCAAGGACGCAGAAAGGATCCGCCGCTTCCTTATGCACATGCATGAAAATTTCTTTTCATAATTTATGCTCCTTCTTCCGCCCCGGCTTTTTGTGCTTCTTTTCCATTTGGCCTTTTGCCATTCAAGGCATTTCCCAGACGAATCTTATCTGGCCTTTTTATCATTATCAACTCCATCAGTTAGTCAGGCCAAGATGGGGGTATATATGTTGGCTATATCATACGTTTAATGCAAAGAAAATATATATTTTTTTTTTTCCATAGAAATACTTAATTGTTCTCAAGTTTCTCAGTTATTAATATATTATTCGTGCTGCTGAAGCCAAAATACGATACTTCCTTATCGAACAAAACAATATTAATTCCATTAGAGTTTTCATATTTCTTTGCTCGTTTTGAGCATATGTCTCCACCATATATCTATATCCTTTTGTTTTTTTTTTTGGATATGTGTGTGTTCATAATCCAATTTCTCCTATGTTTGATTAAGGATGTCGAACGAAACCCCTGGAAGTACATCTACCCACACATTCAGGAAAAATACGTTGGCAGTCGTAGTTTTAGCTTGCAGTCATTTTCGCTTTGATATTGGATTTCAGTTCGCATTTCTTTCATTCCTCCACATATCGAATTTTCCGCCTTTGAGCCCTGGTCAGCATATTGTTAAACAAGCTTCTATTGGCCCATCGAGTTCCTTGCCTTGGAGCCTCTGGCATTTGTGGCCAAAATATTTGGCAGCTTTCATTGAAAACATTTTCCCCAAATGAAGCACACAGTTCTAGAGCAGTTTTCAGTAAACTGCCAAAATAAAATAATGAAAAGGGATTGATGGCATGATAAATGGCACAGAATGAGTTCAACTGTCAAAGCATCAAAATCTGTCACGAATGTCAAAACAAGTTGGGAAAAATCAAATATTTGCAAGCAAAACTTACCCTCCTCTGTGTGGGTTTATTGAACTTTCAACTTTAGTCGTCTGTCTGCAATAGAGAGTGGTATACATGTAAATATATGATGATTAAAATGCATTAATCAAGTCGAATTAGGCGTATTAAATGTAGACAAAATCTTAATCAGGCACAAGTTATCTCACTACTTAATTAAACAAGTAGCAATTCAATTAGTTGGGCAGACGAAGTTAAAGCCAAAGTCACGTGGGAAAGGATCTGCGTCTAACCTGTACACAGGTGTGCTAATAAAGACACACACATACCATCAGGGAATTTGAGGTGGGGTCACGGTGAGCCGCAAAATCAGAAATGTTAATTAAAATCACTGAGCGTTGAGCCCAGGCGACAGGCATGCTAAGCAGGCCCCAAGTCTGTGGGGAATTTGGTAACTCTGGGGAAATGGGAGCGGAAAAGCCGGAAAACCCCTGACCACAAAGGTGGAGGCAAGACAAATGTTGCAGATGGCAATCTGTCGGGGTTTATTAAATGTGGTGTAAAGATGTGAAATGCAAACAAATTAATTAAAAAGATGGATTTCAAATGGTAGAGAAGGTCAAGTTTTTAAATTAAAGCTTGTTTTGCTATGCACATGTGTGTTTAAAAGCAATCTTAATTGTGAAGTGTTTTACAATATAATTACGAAAATGAAATTAGCATTTAACCTTTTTAGTTCTCACTTTAGAATTTATTTTTAGATAACAGAAACATTTATTTAAGAGCACTTAAATCATTTCTCATAGTTCAAAGCTGCAAATTTAGTGCCCCAGTTGCCAAAATAAATACAGAACAAAAGTCACGGGGCCACAACAAAGCAGAATTGCATTTAAAATTCGTAATGGACGTACCGGAAATACAGAATTCCGATCAGGAAGCACGGGGGTCAGGAAATGAAGTAAAAAAGTGCCGCAAAAAGTACGCAAAGCCAAAGAGAAAGCTCACGGCCCCAAAAAAAAGAAAGGAAAACGAAGGTTACAAAGTAAACAAAAGAGCTGAAATAATATTTATATTTAAAAAAAAAAAAGTGCAATGCAAAGGGGGCGACCTTCCCTTTGATCACAAATTGAATATAATAAATTTAAGATAAACAAAAGAGAGGCGGGGTCAGCCACATAAAGTCAAAACCGTTGATGGGGCCTTAAAAACCGGCTAATTCCCTTCAATTTTCCAGCGAGCTGGCTAAGCCGATGGCTTTTAATTTCGTCTGGGTGAAAGTGCTCGATGATTTGAGTTCCGGTCTCGGCAGCACGACTCCCCCGACAACAAGCTGCATTAAAGCGGATGCTAACTTTCATTAAAAGCCACTTAACCCGTGCCAGGACAACGGAGACCACTCCACCCATTTCCCACTGGCCTCCACTTGACCAGGCAACCACTTGACCCACATGACCCACTCCGGGGCAGCAGTGGCAACAACAAAAGCCGGCGATGCCACGTAGATACACCCGATACCGCCTGCCCCCGATGTCCAGGATTCCCCTTAGTTGGCTTAGGGGACTTAGAAGTGGGGGCGTGTCTCTGCTGAAAGGGGGCGTGGCTCTGCTGCACATCGTTAGTCATATTTTTTTACCGAGTAACGAAAACTTTTTGGCAAACACGAAGCCCGGAAAGAGATATTTTTAATTTAATTAAATAACAGTGCGTAACAAGGACGAAGGACGAATGTGGGGCGACTTGTGGTTTTTGGGACGAAATGCAAAAGTCAAAAACTACTGCATACTTATGTGGGCAAAAGTTTTTAGTGGGATTAGAGATTTTATTTAAGATCTTAAGAGCCAAATGCCCAAAGGGACGTTTCCACAAAAAGTTTGTGCAAATATGGCACCACTACAGGGATTATTCCAGCAAATTGAAAGCATCGTTTCTATTAAAAAAAAAAATATTCTTGCATTTCGAACACTTTTGTGACCAATTGTCAGGCAGTTGAAAAGTTTGTGCAACCAAAGTTTCACTAGCAGTCGATCAAGAATATTTGCACCAGCCACAAGAGCTCCCATATGTTGCCACATTCCGATTTTCGGAGTCAACGCTCGCTTATTTCTATTTCATTAGCTGCTATTTTCCTTTAATTTTTTCGCCGCCAAACAAACAAACAAAGAAAGAAAAGCAGTCAAAGTTAAAAAAACCGGAGAAAAACTGAAAAAAATCGAAGGGGGAAGGAGAAATGGGGGCACTGCAGACAAAACTGCAAACTTTGGCGATTCTTTTTCGGTTATTTTTTGGCCCAACTGTTTTCTTTTAATGACGAAGCGTGAAAACAAAACTTTTTTTGCCTCTCACCCGGCACTTTCAATCGGCGACACTAATGGCCTGAAATTGAAATGGATTTTCCAGCTTGTGCAAATATGTTGTCGACTTGAAAAAACAAACAAAATCGAATGAGTTTACCAAGAACATCATATGCATTATTAGCCAAAATGAGCAATCGATTTGATCGGAATGGAGGTTACGTAAATAAAACCCATCACATTTTAGAAATAACGAAATTCAAGGTACTTATTCCTTTTACGTTTTATATTTTTCCTAAAAATACATTTAAAAGCTATTTACGGAAAAATGTGTTATTAAAATTTAATGCCAGTCAATCGATTATATCCATATCTATATGGTTTACAATATTTTTGATCGATTTGATCGGAATTGAGGTTGGTAAATAAAACCCATCAGCTTTTAGAAATAACAAAATTCAATTCAAATTTTGTGTTTATCCTAAACAAAAGTTTAAAAGCTATTTACGATAAAATGTGTTATTAAAATGTAATGCCAGCCAAATGATTACATCCATATCTATATGGCTTACAATATTTTTGACGTTTAATTAAACTTTTGAATTTAATGGACCGCCTAGCAAATATGCAAATCAAATGCTAATCAAGGACTTGTAATAAAATTCGATTTCGATATGTGGTATCTATTACAAATGACTTCCACAATTTGCCAGTTTGTTTGTTTGTTTACTTGTGTGACCCCAATAGAAGTTGCGCCGAAATTCGGCGCTCAATTTCCGCAAACAAACAATCGACCAAAAGCCAACGCCAGAATGAATGAATAACTCTGAACATTGAAACACAGAGATATTGTGCATTTTGGACATCGATTGGATCTGGTCGTGGCCAATACAGTCTGACTTGGCCCGCGGCAGGGCTAATTAAAATTAGTAATTGAAAAGGTCCGACAGATGCACGGCGATGGGGAATTGTTAGCCTTGCCCACCTCCACATCCCCGGGCAATCTATCAAATTCTCCTCGCCGTGCTGTAAATTCAATTTTCCACAGCATAAAGTTCCAAGGTGTTAATATTTAGCGAGAGCCCTTCGATCGATGCGTTTTATGGATTACCCGGCAAGCCAGACAGCTGAAGCCTCGAACAGAAATTGATTGCATATTTCAACGATGGCGAAAATTCAAGCCCAGTCCACAGGCCACAATTCGTTTTACGTAAATTTAATTCAATATTTTTGTCATTCTATGCAGATTTTTGCTGGCATTTCTGCTTGCCAACAAATGTAACGAGTGCGGGCCAAAAAGTGTTCGGTTATCTGGGTCAGAAATGTATTAGAAAGTGCTAACTAACTGAAACGAATGCCTCCGATGCGATTTTCACCATATAAATATTGTACCAAAGTTCGTCTGCCGATAACGGTAAACAAACTTTTGTGGTCAACGGGTTGGCTAATCGATATTATACATATCTCGAAGGAGTAGCAAAAACCAACCCGACGTGTGGTCCCCACATCAAATATATATCGCAATCTTTGATTTTTGGGTCTCCACAGTGCCAACGACATTAATTGAATTCGGTGCCTGGAAAATTCTGTTTTCCCTCTTTTTCGGGTTCCTTGGAAATTTAGCACTTGTGGTGAGTGCGGTGCCCAAAGGAAGGCAAACAACGCGGCCAAAAATGTATAAAAAATTTAATTTTTGAAGCGATGCCAAGGGCTCAAGGACGAAAATGTCGCAACATGATTTAGGTTTTGCAAATATTTGGCACACCAGTAATTAAAAAATTAAAATGCCATCTATTTCAGTCTGTTTAGTAAACAAGAAAGATAAATCAAGTACTTTAATTTATCAACTATGTTAAAATAAATTTAAATCTATTTAACTTATTAAAATTATAAGCATAATTTTAATATTATGAGCTTTATTCCATTTTAGACTAAAACTAAACTTCCTGATATTTTTGATAGTCGCTTAACTTTAATTCGTGGCTGGTCTAGACCGCTGCAGTGCCTAATTCGCATTATGTACCCTTAGTATGCCTCAGTTACATTTCCCTGGTCGAAATGCTCCGGTTTTGGAGCTCTGCACTCGAGCACTTTGTCGGCTGCCTCATAAATCTTGAGTGAAAATTTTCGTTTGGCCCATAAAAAATTAACAATGCGTAAAGGGGCAGGCAGAAGTTACGAGGCAGACTGCTGTGAGGTTTTAGCTTAAGCCAGGATTCTGCGAGGGCTTGCCAAGTATGTCCCTGCTGCACTTGAGACCCCCAAGTACTCACACACACAGCCACACAGGTATACATATTGCACCCGCACACTCCGGTATGCCAGTGTGTATGTGTGTGGGCAGCCATAAAGGTTTTGTGGTCCAGTTGGGCAGACTCGTTGTTGGGCAGATGCCCTCATGCACGCCTCATCGCCTTCAAGAGTGCACAGGGATAAGTGTTGGAAAGTGCTGTTTAAGTTTTTTAAAATTAATAAAAGAAAATAAATTGCGAGTCTAAGTTAAACCTTATATTAAATGTATAAATTCCAATGAAACGTTTTATAAACTTAAGATTGAAATGCTTTTAAATATCTACTAAAATATTTTTTGATAATTGTCACTGATTTCTCTTAAGGCTCCAAAAAATAGCTGTTAAGTTCGGAAACCATTTATTTTTAACGTTTAATATAAACGGAAAAACAGAACTAATAATTTTCATGAGAATTTTCATATCATTTTGAAGTGAATGGAAAATCCCTTTCCAACACTTTTTCCAGTGTTGTATCGAGATGGGGCCCGATATTTGCGGTCAGTTCTTCGAGTCT